TTTTTGTTTATTAGAATGTTTCAAATTATTTTCTTAAGTCTCGTTTGTACTTTTTAAAAAAATTAGAAACTTTAGCTAAAATTTGTTTATATTATTTCTATTTTCTATTTGGTTATTTAAAGATGATAATAAATTAGTCATTTCATAATGCTATAATAGGAAAAATGGACATAAGGACCTTTTAAGCAAAGGAATGTCGATCTGAATATCCAAATGTCAATATTGAAATGATAGGGATTATTTACCAATTACAGAAAACAATAGAGACCTTTTACATCAAATTACGCAGATTTAACAGAAGAATTTAACGGAATATGACAGAAAGGACCAATTCTACAAAAAAGTTTTGAAATGAGAGTAAATAGCAGGTTCAAAATGATAGGGACCATTTTTGCAATGAGTACAAACGATAGGGATGTTTTTAGCTAATTACCCTAAAATTAGGCTACTCAATCTCTGTGGGATGATTTTCAGTCTCTAAAATCCACTTTATTACTTGTTGCGAACCGTACACTTGCGGAGCTTTAAATCGAAATATTATTTCGTGAATAGTTAATTTAAATTTAGTTTTATCGAAGGGAATTATTAAATTAAGTATAATAAGTTATGCAATTAAGTTAAATGAAAGAAAAATTAGCTTAGAACTTTAGAAATTGCTTGAATATGAAAAGATTAAGTTTCGTTATTGCCTAACTAATTATTAGAATTTCTTAAAATAGTTAGTTGTTAATCTAAATATTATACCGTATTTTAGATGGCGATATAGATATCTTGACATCCTACCATCCGATTTGATTTTTTGTACATGATTAGTTGAGTGAAAAAACTTGAGTATTTTCAAGTATTGATAAATTAATAATACTATTACATTATGTGCAATTATGTGTTCGATTATATGATTATTGTGGAAAATTATTTTACTATAATACAAATGGAATTTCAAAAATTGTATAAGGTACCTTCATGAATCGAAATGTGAGACATATATGATATTTAGATCAAATAGAAAAGATCTTGCCCGTGTTCTATACTACACTGAGGGTTCTTGACTATGGATGAAGAGGTCTTGATTGTGAACATATAATGCACCAAGCGGCCTTGGCGTGTTCTAGAATTGATTTCAGTCAAATGGTACATTTTTGGTGAATTTTTTAGTACATTTGATGTGTTGAGATGAGTGTATAGATTTTAATTGATGAGTATATCATGATGATGAGATAATATTTTTCAGTATTATAAGAATGTCTCACATCTTGATTATTATTATTATTATTATATGCTGTTATACTGTGAACTGTTAAAGGATGTAAAATCGATTTTCGATAAAATGTATAAATGCAAAAGTATATTTATTTTTCAACTTCTCTAATTACTGAGCTATGAACTCATATATTATTCCACGATGTTTCTTATCAAGAAAAGTTGAGTTTATGAGCACCTTTTGGAGTTGAGCCTTTGATTTTAGAGTCAGAGCCACACGATAGAGTTTACTAGTATGACTCATTTTATATAGCATGTAGTCAGTGTTTTGGGATATATGTTCATTTTTACAGGTGACTTAGTAGACAGCCGTGGGGCTCACTTTGTATTTTGCATCCATATGTACCTTTCATGTTATTTTGGTAGTAAAAGTTGAGAATTTGGTTTAT